TGCTCAGTTGGAGACCATGACGATTCCAAACTGTGCTTTGGAGGCGACCGAAGGCTTGACTGGCTTTCGAGATCCTGTTGGCGACTTCGTCGTCGATCTTGGTGTTGCGGGAGAGCGTGCTGCCCAGGTACGGGAAGTTCTCTACCACTTGAAGTTGAGTCCCATTCACGTTGATTTGCGGCGCGTTGGGGGCTGTGGCTGAGTTGGGCGGCGGTTGGTGCATAACCACCGTCTTCTGCGTGTTGATAACCAGCCCAAAGTTCCCGCAGGCAGCGGATAATAGGTCCATGCTCCGTTGCATCTCCTCTTCTGAGGTGGTGTTGAGGGCGCAGTCGTCGGCGAAGAGGAGTTCGTGCACGGTGGCTGTGGATACACGCGATTGGAAGTTCATGCGCCGGCGATTCAGGAGATGACCGTCCGTTCTATAGGCGATGCGGATTCCAGGGCGTTCGTCGCGGTAGGCGTCCATCAGCATGGCAGAGAACATGAGACTGAAGAGGGTAGGCGCCAGCACACAGCCCTGCTTCACTCCGTTGGTCACTGCGAATGCCTCTGAGACAGCTCCGTTGTCCGTGACTCGCGCCATCATACCGTCGTGCAGCTGACGCACCCTCTGAGTGAATCGCTCCGGACAGCCGAATTTCTGCATAATCTTCCACAGTCCTTCACGATTCACTGTGTCGAAGGCTTTCGTCAGGTCCACGAAGGTAGAGTACAGGTGGGTCCGCATCTCCTGGCACTTCTCCTGAAGTTGGCGGGCTGCGAAGATCATATCCGTGGTCCCACGATGACGACGGAAGCCGCATTGGCTTTCCGACAGAAGGCCCTGTTCCAGATGGTTATTGAGGCGGTTGAGAAGGATGCGGGCCAAGATCTCCCCGGCGATGTTCAGTAGGGAGATGCCGCGGTGGTTGTCGCAGACTTGGCGATTCCCTTTGCGCTTGTATATGTGCACGATAGTTGCGCCCTTGAAATCTTGCGGGACTTCACCTTGACGCCACATCTCCTGGAAGAGCGCAGTCAGGTGATCCATCAGTAGGGGACCTCCGTGCTTGTAGACCTCAGCAGGGATTGCGTCCGATCCGGGTGCTTTCCCGCTGGAGAGCTGCTGCACGGCCCTGATCGTTTCCTGGAGAGATGGCGGGAGGTCGACGTCCGCGTTGGTCGCCACTTGCGGCAAGCGGGCGATGGCGGCTTCGGAGATGACGGAAGGGCGGTTGAGGACGCCTCGGAAGTGCTCGACCAATCGCTGCAGGATTTGCGTCTTCTCAGTCAGGAGAGTACTGCCGTCGGCGCTGAGGAGAGGAGCAGTGCCCTTCGTCGGCGGACCGTAGACAACTTTGATCGCAGAGAAGAAGTTCTTCCATTCGTTGCGGTCCGCGTAGCCTTGGATCTCCTCAGCTTTGCGAGCAGTCCAGGCGTCCTGCGTCTCGCGCAGTCGTTGCTGAAGTTGGCGGCGACTGCGGTAGAAGGCAGCTTTGTTGCCCTCAGTTGGGTGCTCTACGTAGGCTTTGTGTAGGCGGTTCTTCTCGGCAAGCAGATTTCTGATGGCAGCGTCGTTGTCGTCGAACCAGTCCTGGTGTTGGCGGGGAGCGCGACCGAGGACGGCGAGCGCCGTCGACTGGAC